TTGCAGAATGGATAAACCATATGCTCATGTCTTCCAAGCAATAATAATAATGATTTAATACATTAATTGGAAATGCCAAATCCTCTCGATATCACCGATAGCTGATGCTTTTTTTTTTGAAGATATCTCTGGCTATCATCTATATACACGGAGTTATCGTGTGCGCAACCGGAGTATTTTACACGTGTATCGTGAGCACATAAATCATGAGCTTTGGCTTTACATCACATGCAATCTACTCGTACAGTGTGAGTTGGCACCTTGCTGAAATCGCACAGAAATCGCACAGTGTATGCCCGGCCTAATCAGATCTGAAATGCAGGTCACACCAGCTGACTTTCATCATGCTGTTGATATCCAGTGATGTGTTTAGACAGGGTTCTGATCTACAGTGTTTACCCTCTCTATCTAAAGCTGGTCCCACTGAGTATTGTGATTTATTCATATTATTTTTCATTTTCAAGTCTTTCCAAAATGAGTCATATTTACATGTAAAGGATGTGCGTTTCAGCTGAAAATAACATCAGAAGTTTTGTCTTTTAAAGCAGAATCTTGAAAATGAAATGGAACCTGTGACTAATTTTGAAAGATGTATGTAGCAATTCTGTATCTTATACACACAAAGCATATAGGATACTTACTGTAATTTCAGTAGAGTTTGGCATTAGCATGTTGCTAAGCTTAAGCATTTCATTTTTTTATAAAAAAAAAAACAGTATAATATAAACATTAGATATTAAGTTAACTGGATTTACATCCAGTTTCATGTAACTTTTTCTGTTAAATAAAGAAAAAAATTATTTAAAAAAGCATGTGCTAACACAGATGACAAATAAATAGTGTGTAAAACCATCATCAGTTATCATTGAACTATTAATACTTATCAATATTTGAATCTTATCAATACTTTTTGGTATTGTATGAAGTACATATCAAAATTAAACACTCTGGTTTAAACACACTCTCATTCAATGAATGTGATGTTCCATAGAATTTGGCCAAAAGCAGTTATCTTAGAAGGCTGCATAATTATGCTGTCTTTCATTTGAAACATATTTCATGTGAGGAGTGTGCTTATAATGTCACACAATTCACAATGGGCTTGTATTAAACCTCAGTTAGGTGAGCAAAATGAAATAAATCTAGTATCTGTTTGCTTATGATTGCAGTAGCACAGCTTTCACGCAATCAAAAGGAAATTATTTTGTGAGATGAGTCTGAAAATGGAAGCACTCAGGCCGAATCCTAAATTGAAAACTAAATTGAAAAGCCTGGTCGGTCTGTTGACAAGTTGAAGGTTTTTTTTTTTTTTCCTTTGGAAGTGACAAATTCTAAATCAATCTTTGTAGATAATTTCCTTGCACTTAAACTGAATTCAGCATATAAGAGTTATTTGAATATATAAAGGCGAGGCCAGGACTAGTTGTCAGATACTGTAAATATTTCTCAAGATGAGTTTATTTCTCAATTTTTTTCATATACAGATGACACGTTTATATACAAATTACTCTTGAGTCTAGGGCTGGGTATCGAGTTCGATACTTTTTAGGCACTGACCGAATTGCCTCGATACCATAGAGCATCGAAAAACGTCTCGTCGTTCGGTACCAAATTTCGATATCTAAGGGGTTAATCTCATCAGCGTCAGTGAACCAATAAGCCTGCAGCACTAGCCGGTGTGTTCGACTAGAAGAGGTGCGGCGCAGATCGATCAGTGTTTGTGCGTTTATGTTCTAAAATGAAAACGATCCTCGTCATACTGGCGTTTCTACTGCGTTTCAAGCTGGCTTTCCACTATCTCTGACAAGCGATAGACCGGTCATTCAGTCATTTATTTCCAATAGAGAGTAACGTTAGCGTGGGAGCTGCGTGGAGTTCCGATCATATGCAGATGTCCGTTCATACTACACAACCGAAAGCGCGTGTTACGTGAGCGTTCATCAAAACTCAATTTAAACCACCATCGAGTGTTTATAATAACTTCCGATTGCCGTCTAATGTGTGTTTTGGCCATGTAAAGTTCCTGAAATAGCTATGTTATTTCCTCTGAGTCAGAGCAGCGATCATGGAAGAGAGAACACAGGCAGACAGCGCTGGAAGCTGCTAATGCTCATCAGTTCAGGAACCGGTATCGAAGTCAAGGTATCGGTATCGATATCGGAATTTTTTTTACGATACCCAGCCCTATCTTGTCTGAATGTTGGTCAGTGTGGTTTTATTGTGTTCACAAGAGCTATTTAAAGATATGATATTGGAGTTTTGGTTTGTAGAACAGAATTAAAAATTCACAACTCTAAAATCTTGAATGTAAACTTCCCCATGTGACAGCTATCCCCAATCTCTCCTCTGTCATTACCATCCCCATGATCTAAAGGTGAATTATCACCAAACAAGAGTTTATAATTCATCATCATATTCTGCTGATGATCACAATGAGCTCTGTTGCTTGGCTTGGCTTTTATGTGCGTAGCTCAACAGGAGCTGTCAGAATAGTTAATCAGGCCCCAGTGCTGAGGCTGAAGATTGTATATCCTCAGTTTACTCATCATCACGTCACAGGAGAGGCCCGGCCTGGACTTTGGTTATGTAATGCAGCTGCACATTTATTTATTCGTTTGCATGGCGTGCCATAAGCCGGTTTAAGCTGTGTCTCTGAGCTGTGTCAGTCCCAGCACGGTGCATTATTCAGCTGTGCTCAGCATTTGAGCTCACAGGAACATTTCTGCAGTGAGATAGTCCATACTGTCCCCTCTGCAGGCAGCCACCCTCACCTGGCAGAGCCCGAGAGAGAGAGAGTAGGCTGTTATTGGGAGATGACTGCATTTGGAACACAGCTGACCCTTCGCTAAGCTCCTTGGTTACTGTTACTCGCTCAGACAAGCGCTACAGAACATAGAAATAATTTGGAGATTTCTGTGATTTTCAATCAAATGTGCCCATAAAGTGGTGAAATTTTAATAGATATTTAATTTACTTGAAAACAGCAACTGTGGTTGCCAGAACTTTACCATAAAAAAAATAGTAGCAACATTTAAAATTTTACAGATTGATCTTAAATTTACAGTAAAAACATATATTTCATAAACTGAAATAATATTAATATACCACCAAATTACTTTTTTTTTTTGACAACCACTTTAAAAACAGAAAAAAACACAAGCTGAGGTAAATAATATTTAAACGGTGCAATAATGTCATGCATAAAAAACACCATCATGGTAACACTCATGACACTAAAATAATGCAATAAACATTCATTAAACAAGATGTAACAAAACCCTAATGTATATAAATAATAGGAAACATTTTGAAAAAAAGTTATTTCAATAAAAAGAAACATCAAATGTGACTTGTTCTTTACTTTTAAGAGTGTTTTACTGTAAAATGACATGAAATGTTCCTTACAGTTTTTCACCGTACAGACTAAAGGAATTTCACCATGGCATTTTTGCAGTTTTTACTGTTAAAATTACAAACATTTTTATTAATTTAACTTGGAGCAAATGTACTGTAAGTGTTCTTACTGATGTAATACATGTTCATTTTCCAAGGAGGACTGAGACAGTTTAATCTACAGCATGAGCTCCTCAACTTTTATTTAAATAAAATACATTTTAATGATAATTTAGATTGTGAACAGTGTGTGTGTGTGTGTGTGTGTGTGTGCGTGTGTGTGCCTAACCTCAGATTGTGCCAGGTAGCCTGCCACTATAATTATACTGTAAATCACACTGAATAAATGACAACCTGCTAATTACTTTTATACTAAAAATAAATCTGAACATAAACATGATATTTAACACTGCTTGTACTCTGTAAACGTGGTAACCTGCAGTTCTTACTTTAAGGAGCTATTTCTAACTGATGTAGTATAAAGATGCCATGCATGATTTATAGTTTAAATTCTATTATAATGTTTCAGATGTTTGTTTTTCTCTCCAAAATGATCCAGATATATTTGTTTATGTTGTTTATGAACAGAATATCCCCAATGCCATTATACTCTATGCAATTTCACCAAGCCCAGACAAAATCTGCAGACTTTTGCTTCATTTTCTGTATCAAGTTTGAGAAAAAGTCTGAATAGGCATACATCCGAGAGAACGAGCTATTGGAAAAGAAAAAAATGTAGGGCTGGGACTAGGTTACATGAATCGATTGTTGGTTGGATTTTGAGATGTGGGCAGATTAATGCAAGCTTGACATTTTAATAAAAAAAAATTAAGAGGTCACAAGAACAAATACATTGGCTCATTCACAATAAAATCTATAAAATACATTTAGAAAACGGAGAACTTTAAAAATTGCTATGTTTTCTCAAAAGTGTCAAATGCCTAGGATCATAGGATAAGATCTGCCATTAACTGATCCACATCATCCGCAGCTAAAAGAAAAGCCCAATCCAGTATTCAAGATCCTAATTGCCCTGACCATAAACTGTTCTGCCCTTCGGGAAAGTGATATCATGTCATCAAATCTAAGACTATCAGAGTGACGAGCAACTTCTATGCAACTGCAGTCTGTTTACTTAAAGTCTGCATCTTTACCAGTGTATGTCACTGTGCTCTACATTTTGTGTAGAGTTAATCTAATCTAATCAAATTAGCCAAAATATTTGATAAACGACGAGTCAAGTACCAAGGGGCATGTAGATGTTTGTAAATGACAGGTTTTCTAATTCTGCTGAAATCTGTGGAGCTTTCTGCAGGTTCCATGCTTTTTGCTCTAAGTAATTTCAAAGTACCTGTGATTCTTGTTGTTATTTGTATATTGCACACTTTTGTGTTTGTCATGTGCTTTCTAAAAAAACACCTATGAAAATGGCAATGGAATACATACACTCATGATCACACCATCTGAACCCTTTTCCTTGACCTGTTTACTACTGTTATTCATAATGCCAGATGGCATCATATCGCCAAATATGCTTAAACACACAGCTTTATGGCAGAAGCATTTGTTTATTTCCCTCTGAGCCGTGCCATCTGTTGCCTTTGCAGGATGACAGCATTTTAAAGGAGTTTGATATCAGCCATCATGTGAAAGAGGGCTTTGAGAAAGCAGACCCGTCACAGTTCGAGCTGCTCAAGGTGTTGGGTCAGGGCTCCTACGGAAAGGTGAGCTTTGAAAATGCTGCATTTGACTTACTCTCTGTGTGCTACTGTAATGCAGAGTCATCGATAGCTAAAATTAGATTTGCCATTTGTTTGGATGTAATTTTGTTAATGCATGTGGAGTTAATGGATTTAAAACCATTTTTGGTGTCCTTATAAACCCTTCAGTTGAACTTTAGAAAGTCAGGATCAGTTGTTGCAGGATTTAAATTACATAATTTTAACTGAGTATCCTGTGTCTCAAAACGAAAAAAATAAAACCAAGCAAGTTTTCAACCTAGTAAGATCAACACAAAGGCCGTTTAGTAAAGGTAGCTGCATAATCAGAGATACCTTTGGAGAAATTTTAAGCTAGCATCACATTTATTTTTAGCAGAGAAATCAATCCCAGAATGTAATGCAATTATCTTAATAAAAAAGACAAAGCAAGAGAACTGCTGATTATAAATATAATTAGAATTCACTCAATTTTGAACATTTCAACACTTTCAAAAAAGTGTTAGTCTTTTGCACTGTGCTTATGCTGTGTATTTGGTTTAATAGAGTACTGCATTGTTAGCTTAGCAACATGCTAACATGCCAAATTCCACTGAAATCGACTGTGAATGGAGTCTTCTGTGCTATTTGTATGAGTTACTTCCTATTTAGAATAATTCAATTTAATCACTCATGTTCCATGTCAGTTTGGATGTTGCCTCAGCTGCTTGTGTAGGTGGTTTAATTACTCCACTTTAACTTCTGCCTTTTACCTTTGAAACACAAAAGATGTCAGGCATGTTCAAAATTGCAAAAATTACAAAAAAGTATCAGTATCATACGACCCAAGTCTTCAGACGCCATGTGATAGCTTTGTGTGAAGAAGACATTGAAATTTTAGTCTTAATGCCTTTAAATGCTGACTACATAGGTAGCTCAGAGCAGAAAAGGAATTTCTGTCTATATTCACACAAAGCTGTCATGTGGCTTAAGACGACTTGATATACTGTCTTATGGACATGTTGACTTCTTTTATGGTGTTTTTCCAACTTTTTGGAGCTTGAGAGCCCCTGGACACTGACTAAGGGCCTGTTTACAGCTGGTCATTTAATGCATTTTCTTTGATCTGGTAGCTACTGTATCTGATGGTGAAAAGATCAGGTGTAAATACCCTCCGAAATGCTTTTGAGATTTAAATCCAGTCACTTAAACCAGTTCAAGAGTTGATCTGAGACGCATTCCAAACAAAACTGGACAAATGTAAATGCATTCGGTTGTTGAAACCACATATGTGACCCTGGAGCGCAAAAGCAGTCTTAAGTCGCTGGGGTATATTTGTAGTAATAGCCAAAAATACATTGTATGGGTCAAAATTATTGATTTTTATTTATGCCAAAAATCATTAGGATATTAAGTAAAGATCATGTTCCATGAAGATATTTTGTAAATTTCCTACTGTAAATATATTAAAACTTAATTTTTGATTAGTAATATGGATTACTAAGAACTTCATTTGAACAACTTTAAAGGCGATTTTCTCAATATTTAGATTTTTTTTTTTTGCACCCTCAGATTCCAGATTTTAAAATAGCTGTATCTCGGCCAACTATTGTCCTTTCCTAACAAACCACACATCAATGGAAAGCTTATTTATTCAGCTTTTATATGATATATACATCTCAATTTTGAAAAATTGACCCTTATGACCCTTATGTGTGAGAGCGTGTTATAGGCTATGCTATATGACATGTTATAGCCAGATGGCTTTGCTGCAGATGAGCAGCTGAGTATCTCTTCAGCAAACTGCCACAAATGATACTACGTTATCTTACGAGTGCTGATGCCACTCTCTCTCCTCCCTTACGAATATTAACCATGGTTAATTTGCATAAGGGCTGTTGCGGTCTCTGATCTTGAAATTAGCTGATGATGAATAAAATCTGTTGCTTTTGCTGACATGAACTCTATTAAATTTGCATATAATGAGGGATTAAAGATCAGATTTATATCGGTTTTGTGGAGACACATTTATGTGGCCAAGTGTAAATGGAACCAATAAATCAGATGACTACCCATTCAGTAAAAACACATGAAGTGTCCAGATGTAAACAGGCCCTTTGTTTTGTTAAAACGGTTCCATTTACACAAATGCGTTTTTGCAAAACGAATCAATTCCTGCGCTATATGCAAATTTAACTGAGTTCACAATGAAAGCAAAAAATATGAGCTGCATTTTATTTATCATCAGCTAAGCTCAAGATCAAAGACAGGGAGAGAGCGACATCAGCACTGGTAAAATAATTTAGTCTTACTGCTTTCTTTTAACGAAGATGAAAGTGTGTTTAGCATCTGCAACTTACTTTCAGTTTCATTTGCGGCAGTTTGCGCATCGGTTCGCTGAAAAGATACTCAGCTACTCATCTGCATCGGTGCGTGTTGCATTAGCCATGTCATATCTGGCTATAATGTCATATAGCCTATAGCACACGTTCACATATTTATTATTTTTTTTACATTTTGGGAGGAGCAAAAATTTACATATGTGGTTTCAACAAGCGGATGCACTTAAACTTGTCCAGTTTCATCTGGAATGCGTCTCAGATCAACTCCTGAAGTGGTTTATGTGATTGGATCTCAAAAGCATTTCAGAGGGCATTTATACCCAAGCTTTTTACGATCAGATAGCTATCCAATCAGAAAAAAATACATGAAGTGACCAGGTGTAAACAGGCCCTAATACAGGGGTGTTAAATTCAGTTCTTGGAGGGCCACTGTCCTGCAGAGCTTAGCTCCAAACCTAATTAAACACACCTAAACCAGCTAATCAGGGTCTACTAGATTACTAGAGGATTACTAGAAACTTCCTGGCAGGTGTTTGGAGCTGGTCGGAGCTACAGTTTGACATGTGCCCTAAGATGTGTGAATATTATGGGATTTTGAACTTACGCTTCATTTTACAGGTGTTCTTGGTGAGAAAAATCAGAGGTTCAGATACAGGACAACTCTATGCCATGAAGGTCTTGAAGAAAGCAACACTGAAAGGTAAAACTGACCCTTAAGCCCTTAAAATATGAGATCTGAATTATGACTCTACTCTACAATTTGTGTGCTTTGCATTTGTCAATCTTTCCCTAGTATGCACTGATGTAAAACCTGCAGTTATTATTTCACCACAACATGACATCTAACCCGTGAGTCATAACTGAGCTGCTAGGAGGCCTGAAGTGCTCACTAGCTGGTTTTTAAGGAGTATCTGAATCATCAACTTGTTTAACATGGGGAAAAGGTCCCACTCAGACAACCAGGCAATTTTCCTGAGTGACAGTTTTTCATTATTGCACACTTCAGATCCGTAGCAGCTTCCCTGGAACAAAGACAAGGAATTAATCTAATAAACAAACAAAGCAGATAAACCCGAAGTCTTAAGCATTTGATTTTACACACAAAAACACAAATTTAAACAAAACAGCAGTTATTATAGTGATTCATAGTGCTCAATTTGGAGTGGTAGTTTATTTCACAACCTGTTCACAACCCACATAACGTATTCGCTCGATGTAACCATGGTTACATCCCAAAGTCTTTGCTCTCGGCGGATGATGTTGTGCAAGTTCTTCATGTACGTGTGAATGAAAATAACAGTGTTGGTGACTGTGGCACCTCGCTGTCAGACCACAGCAATGCTGCAGCTGTTATATAAGACAGCACTCGTGTGAATGAAGCATCTTACATGCTGCTTTTGATGCCAGACTTGTCAAAGATTTGTAGTCCTGCAGGATTAAAGGTGAAGTCTGTACATTTTTGGATGTTAAAATGTACAGAATCAACTAAGAGTAGGTCATTCATCTAAACACTGACTTTTTAAACTAATAACATAAAATAATATAAATCATATTCGGGCACAGATCAGATCATCTTGCAAGCGTGTAAACAGCAAAAAAGCATGAGATCTGATATTTTTTCGTTCACATGGTGCATATCTAATTACTGTCCTTATGTCTAAATATCCATATCTGATCTTTTCTTAATAAGAATTGTTTATGTTTTCATGTCATCACTGTAATGTAACACTCATTTAGACATCTGCATATCCAAACTAAGTAATTGGGAGCTAAAAGATGACAGGCAGCTATGAAATGTGTAAACTTACAGGGAGACAAATTATTATTAGTTTTTCCACAAACATTTAAAGGAATAAGTAGTGACCACTTTGACATGCACACACAATTTGAATATATTCTGGTTATTTATAGTCTTATAAACCTGTTAACCCAATTGTCATCGCTTGATAGAAATCAATATAAGTGTCACAGTCATTGTCTTGTTCTGTTTTGTGTCTAGTCATGGTTTTCTGCCACAGTCTTTGTCTGAGTTGGTAGTTATAGTTTCTAATTAGTTTTGCACTTGTTTCCTGTTCTGTTGATGATCAACCTTGTATATTTAAGCCCTCAGTTTCCTCAGATCTGTGTTTGTTTTTGAAGTTATGTTAGATGTGTAGTGTGCTATCGCCCTGTTTATATATTCGGCCTATATATAATTTATGCCTGTATTAATTTACACAACAACACGTTTTGGGGGCCTGAAAATGCAAACTTGAAAAGTTTTTGAAAATGATACAGTTAGGCCATATAACTACAAAAATGCAAAATTGTGATGCGATGTCATGCATGCATATGGACTACTTGCACTGAGCCTCGTGACGCACTTCCGTTTTGAAATAATACAACTCAGTTATTTCCAGTTATGTATATTTTCAATGTGCCGCAATCATCTAGTTGACTTAAATGCCTATTAAAATTAGAGTCCGCGGGATGATTTCAAAATCCGGACATTTTCAGAGACAGGAGGAGAGATATTCTGATGATTACTGTGTGCAGAATTTTCCAAACTCAATGGAACGTGAAGTTTTAATCCAACATAAGCCGATCTGATAAAGCAATGGCTGGTAAACATACATGATTGTTTCACCACAGGGTGTCAGTGCTCTAAACTAGTAATCGTGACGCTGCAGTGTATGTGAGATCTAATGAATAAGATCAGAATGAACCTTTATTTTTCTGTATTAAATATGTTTAAAAATATGTATATGTAAATATGTCACTATTCTGTGTCATTTTTCATTCACAATCATTTCACTGAATGCAATGCCAAAATATGAATATTCAAAGCAGCCGCACTGTCAACTCGTTACTGTTAAAAATTAATTAAATGTTTAACATTGTTCAATTTCTATAATGCAGTTACCGCACATTCATTCAACCATTTTAAACATTGGAATAAGAGCACCAACGCACACAAGCAATAATGCTCTTACGAAAATTAGCCATGGTTATACTACAAATAAAACCAACATTTTTTTGTAGTTTTAGTTAAACTACAGTTAGTTGCAGTTGTAGTTAAACCATAATAAACCACAAATAAACCCGGGTTTTGCTACACTAACCATGGTTTTTAAATTTGATTATACAAATGGTAAACTGCAAAAAAAAATAAATAAATAAATCATGCTCACTACACTTTTACTATAGTAAAACCATGTTTATTTTTCGTAAGGGTGTTTATCAGTCAAATTCATTTAAAACTGTAAATTCAACTGGTATGAAATATGATCAGTAAGAGAAAAATGTGAAGACAAGCGCTGGACCTCGGCAGGTTAGTGGGGAAATATATTTATTTATTATTCAGAATTTATTTGGAATAGAAATATATTCATAAGAACATTTCAGCAGGTTGAAGATAATTCATGTTAACGCAGAGAATATGACTAATTGTTTTATATAAAAAAATTGCCAGCCCTAAAACGTAGTAATAATCTGCTTTCTCATGAGAAATGGTCTGTATGTAGGTGCACTAAACACTGACCGGAAACTCCCGAGCTGTACTGAGTAGAACACGGAAGTAGTTGTGCAAGTAGTCCATTACATGTTTGAATAGTGTTCCTTTATAAAGTTACATTGCTACTGGCCTGGCATGCTTAATACAGTAGTTTTCGTTGATCTGTGTGATCATTTTGACAACGTTGTCACCTGTATGCAAAAAACGCACAATGTTGTCACATGAATGTACACTTATATAGATTTATATTAAACATATTTAGATTATTTTTTAGGCTCTTTAAAAATGTATATCAATATCAACATAAATCACTATACAGATGGATGCGAGTCTCACGATCTGCATTTTGCAATTCATTGTACACTTGTGTGCTTTTGTCAAGGGAATGAATGACAGTGAATGAGTTATTTTTAATTATTTAATTTATAATTTTATTTGTAATCATAAATAATGAGTCTCTACATTTTGTCTCTTTGTATTTTAAGTGCGGGACAGAGTGAGATCAAAAATGGAGCGAGACATTCTCGCAGAAGTGAATCATCCCTTCATTGTCAAACTCCACTATGGTGAGTTGTTTTCTCAAGGGGAGACTGTAAACAACAGAACAAGAGCATTTAGACAAGAACATCAGTTTCTGAACCCCCTGTGCTCTACTGAAGTGACAAACAGACAGTGTTGTGGAGTGAATAACTACATGTAGAAATACTACTAACTAAACTACATTCTACAGTTGTATGACAGTAGCTCAGCTGTTTTCATAGCGCTGTAGCCTTTACAGTAATGAGCTTTTTTGTAATATTTTCTGTTCAAGTTTGATTATGTCTGATCTGATTGTAAAAGTAATTTATATTATCTGATAATTATTCATTTTAAAAAAAGATAGCCAGTAGCTTGAATTAGTGGTCGACCAATATTGTTTTTTTGACAGCCGATGCCGATATCATGGAAAGCAGGGTGGCCGATGGCCAATAAAGCCGATATATTTTTTTTTATTTTATTTAATATTTAAGAAATTTGAAATAATTTGAAAATTGATTAAAAAAATAAATGTGTAAAATAAACATGCTTATACTTTAAATTACAAAGTATTTTTCACAAATAAACAAATATTTAATCAAAATATAATTAAAAAGGAAGTCGGCCTTGGCGATATATCGGTCGACCACTAGCTTGAATGTAACATTTAAATTATGGGTGGCTCGAAACTTCGCAAACTACAATTTCAGGTTTTTACAGGTTTTTTGCCTTGTGCTTCTGAAAAAAATACTGCTTAAATGTCACCTTTGTTGCTTTTCCCCTCAGCCTTTCAGACAGAAGGAAAGCTGTACCTAATATTGGACTTTCTCAGAGGGGGAGATCTTTTCACACGCCTCTCCAAAGAGGTCAGTTTTTTGTGAAACAGCTCAAGTCAACTAAATAATTCTGCTGTTACAAAACAGGCAAACATGACATGCTTGTTCGGTTGTAAATGCTTATGTCTTCTTATAACTTATGTTGCTCTAAACCCCTACTATATCATTTTCTGGTCACACTTTATTTTAAGGTCCAATTCTCACTATTAACAAACCATTAACCACGACTTTTGCCTCAATAAACTCCTAATCTGCTGCTTATTAATAGTTAGTATGGTAGTTGTTAGGTATTGGGTAGGATTAGGGATGTAGAATATGGTCATGCAGAATATGTGCTTTATAAGTACTAATAAACAGCCAATATGTTAATAATCGGCATGCTGATAAGCAGCTAGTTAATAGTGAGAATTGGACCCTATACTAAAATGTTACCCATTTTCTCAGCTGTAACACAAAAGCTGATATTTTAAGAATGTTGTTGCTGCACTTTTCCACTGAAAGTGAATGGAAAGAGATGCTGTCAAGCTCTAAAAGTAATAATGTTCGCACGTTCCTCTTAACCAAATGCAACATGCTAAATTTGACAATGCGAGAATAAGTCGAATTGACTTCTTTTATGGTGGTTTTATTGTGCTTTGGTCACTTTTTGGAGATTGACAGCATTCTATTTAGGTTTATTGAATGTAAAAGATCGCAGTGAAGATTCTTCTAAATTTCTCAGTTTGTGCTCTAGGGGAGAAAAAAGCCATAAGGGTTTGGGATAACATGAGAGTGAGTAAACAAGTACATAATAATACCAATGTATTTGTGTCCACTCATTATACAATTGAACTGAGTAGCAGTTGCTTAGTGAAAGGCTGTAAGCATTCAGTCGTTTAGTAATTACCAAAACATCCACCTGCAACAGAGGTATATCCACATGTGCAGACTGAACTGATAGATTCTCTATTTATTACACCATATTCTCTGATAGATGGTGTAATTGGTCCCTCTTAGCACTTGCTATACTTTAATTCTTCTTAATGGAGTGTATGATTTTCTTGATCGCATCACTTTCTAATCTCCCAAATTCAGTAAAGCTTTCCTCAAGGATCTGTTCTCTTCGCACATGGGGAACAAATCTGATTATTGATCTATAGCGGGCAAGGCTTGCTGAGACCTATACTTTATGAGCTGTGAATCACACATTATAGCAGCAGAGGCCATCTGTGGAAAATTATCAGTGCCATTGTTGGGAAATTCAATACTGTGTAGATGCTGGATGAGGATTAAGGGGAAATAATTCGTTTTACATTGATTAGCACAGTTTGTGTCTGACGGTCGTATAGAGTTTGTAATAGATCCCCTGAGTGCTGAAGATATTCTCAACAACTGAAACCAAGGTCCTTCTTTACTGTAGCTGACAATTCTGTTATTAATACATACATACGCGTGTGTGTGTGTGTGTGTGTGTTCTCTTCCCAAATAAGTAATGCGTTTCTACACTAGATCACGTCTGGTAAATATCGGCTTCTGGATCTTTCCTATTATCCACTACCCATGTATACAGTTGTGGTCAAAATTTTACATACACTTTGCAGTATCTGCAAAATGTTAATTATTTGACCAAAATAAAAGGGATCATACAAAATGATTTTTTTGTATTTATTTAGTACTTTATCCACCACTGTATATATATACACACACACACACATACTGTACATACACTGCTCTTGGATCTTGGTGAACAAAATATTCAAGCTTAAAATGTTTACTTATATACACTGTGTAATGTTATTGGAAGAGACCTGAACTAAGCTGGACGGTAACATCACTGAATCAACAATGAACTGACTTTAACTGATAAACTGACTGTTTTCTATTGTCCTCTTGCATTATCGGCACATGTTTTTCCTGTTTAACACTGTAAAACTGCTTTGACACAATCTGTATTGTATAAATAAAGGGGAAAAAAGTGTTTTCAGTGGAAACCAAAATCTCCAACCCACCGAGGGCTGGATTTACTATCACACTGAAAATCAAAGTAAAAAACTGCACTTTGAAATTACACTTTGATCAAACTTGCATGAATTTCATCAAAACAGCTCATAATGTAATTCAGTAGTGTTTATGGTCCCAAAGTGCCTGTTTGTACTCCCAATAAAGTGTGCTCCTGTTGAGATGGGGATCTCCTCCCAGACCAAGATCAGGGCATCAGTGAGCTCCTGGACAGTCTGTGGTGCTACTTGGCAGCTTCAGATGCTCCGATACATAATGTCCCAGAGGTTGTCAAATGGACTCAGGTCGGGATAACTTGAGGGCCAGTCAATGGCATCAATGCCTAAATCATCCAGAAACTACCTGCACAGACTGGTCACATGAAACCGGGCTTTGGCATGCACTAGGAGGATCCCAGGGCTCACTGCGTCAGCATAAGGTCTGACAATGGCTCTGCGGAATTCATGTTTCATCTGAGGATTTCATGCTTTCACCTAACAGCAGTAAGTGTACCGTTGGCTATCAAATGGAGGTCTGTGCGACCCACCAAGGGTATTCCTCCCCAGACCATCACTGACCCACTGCCAAATCGGTCATGCTGGATGATGTTACAGGCAACTTAACGTTCTCCACGGCATCTCCAGACTCTTTCATGTCTGTCACGTGCTCAGTGTGAATCTGTTCTCATCCATGAAGAGAATGGGGTGCCAATGGCAGCCCTGCTAATTCTGGTGTTCTCTGGCAAATGCCAGTTGAGCTGCATGGTGCTGGGCTGTGAGCACAGGTCCCACTAAAGGACATCGGGCCCTCATTGAGTCATGAAACATGCACACCAGTAGCCTGCTTGAGGTAATTTTGTTGGGCTCTCGCGGTGCTCCCCCTGTTTCTCTTTAAACAAAGGAGCCGCTGCTGGGTTGTTGCCCTTCTATGACCTCCATCTTCAGGAATCTCCTCCATGCTCTTGTGACTGTACTGGGAGACACATTAAACCTCTTTGCGATGGCACAATGTGCCATCCAGGAGGATCTGGACTACCTGATTGGGTTGCGGGTTGCCTCAAGTAGTGAGGAGGACTCTAACAAAACACAAAACTAGAGACAAAGTCAGGAAGGATAAGGAGAGAGCAAATGTCTGTGGCCACCACCTGCAAAACCATTCCCTTTTTGGGAATTATCTTGCTGTTGCCTCTCCAGTGCACCTGTTGTTGCTTTCATTTTCACCAAAGCAGGTGAAAATGATACATAATCACTTATGTTTCTTAACTGGACAGATTGACATCCTTGAAGTTTAATTGACTTGGTGTTTTTTCTTGAAATATATATTTTTGTTACATATTTTCATGACGGGGACAAATCACCAGGAGTTAAAAATTCACCTCTGTGTTCACTTTATCACTTTATTTTAATATTGTGATGAATATATATATATATATATATATATATA